AAAAAAAAAAAAAAAAAAAAAAAAAAAAAGAGTTGAGTCTGCTGGCCGACTCGCAAGCTAGCAGCCTGACTAATGGACCCCTGAAAACCACTTTGACTGACTCCTGACGAAGTGGACTATGAAGAGGTTTGCGATATGGTAGATGAAGTAGCCATGGCTGCACAGGGCCTAGCTGAAATACTAGTCCTGGCACTATCCTCAGCTGCCCTCACTCTCCTTGCCGCTGCTTTCTCTCTAGCCTCTCTCCACAATCTTCTCTCGTCTCCTGGACCTAACTCCAAGAATGTCAAGGGTCAACTACGGGCAGTCCCACGAGTAGTCCTACGGTCGTCCACTAACAACTCCTCACGAGCTACAGTGTGTGTTATCTAAACTAGAATCCACACTGAATCCTACCTTAGCCTGACACACAACCGATTATGAATCACAACTAATTTCAGTCGGATGGAACAGAAACAGTTAGGTGATATAGTAACAACTAATGTCAGGTCCTACAGGATATATTAAATCTATTTTTAGATTACCCTAGAACAGATAGCAATACAGCAAAGATCTAGTCTGTCTGTAGCTGTCTGTCAATTGTTAGTCAAGTCTGTAACATTTAGATAATCAAAATAAAAATAACATCTCTTGTTGGAGATGTATGCTTGATGGCAGATTGTTTGTTGATTGCCACTGCAAACAGTTACCGGAATCCCCCCTCCCCCTGTATCCTTCTTGAGTGGTCTCTTTGTGTCAACGTCCTGAGCATCTGGTTGAGCAGCGTGTCTGAAGGTGTGCAATCCGGCCCACCCCTGTGCCCCAAGTCAATGTCGAACCTGCCAGCCCCTGCACTTTATTTACCCTGGCATGCAACGAGCCTTACACCCGGTTGATCTGGGTGATCAGGAGGGATTTAAGGAGAGCCCCCATCTCCTCAGGAAATATTTAACGTCGCAGACAGGACGACAATCACAGCCAGATTCAATTCCGAGTCCCCAGCCAGAAATGTTTAAACACGGTCTGGAAAGCGTCTGTCCCAAAGGCCTGGCATGCCCTGCATGACCTCTATTGCGCAAGCAGCAGAACCAAGGACTTGCGGCAAAGCATGCGTGTACTAGTCCCAGCGGGTTGCCATGGTGACAGTGACCCAAGTGCTTCGTCCAGGGCCCTTCAGAGGCTTTGCCCGTCTCCCACCAGCTTGCTGCCCAGGAAGAATCTCGACTCTCAAGGTTGAGCACTCGCGACACCTAACATCGAGAGGACACTCAAGACAGAACTCACTTCCTCATGGTAAGAAGCAATGAAGAGGGTAGATAAGGAAGAGAGCAACATACCTCATAAATGCTGCCCCCAACCACAGATTTCTCACCAGCAACCTGATGTGCAATTATGATGACCGGTCTTTCCCTTGGCACAACCAACAGCAGAATGCGGTTCCACCTCGGCTTAATATGCCACATCAGCGAGCTCTCATCATCCAACATACACCCCGTATGTCACCACATAGCTCCCTGGCGCGCCCACACTACCCTGGGCCGCCTAATGTTCAACGCCAATGCCTTATCACTGCCCCACACCTCATGGGAAGCACCAATAGCTATTGCGAAGAACCAATGAAGCGCAATACGAACCAGCTCCGATACAAAATTGCAAGGAAAATAAGCAACAGCGAGATGACAAATCCAGATTACACCATCACATTAAAAGCCAGATAGTCACACTGTGTCCAGAGAGCAGCATCGCACCAATAATACACCAATGGAGGTTCGTAGTACTGAAAACCAATGTCATGGAGAGCTTTCTCTCTCCTTCAGCAATACAAGAGTCCAGTCCCTTCACACTCCTACTTGGCGCTCAGCGCCCAACCTACCCCTACGCAGCTACGATCAGCCTAATAATAGACAATGCAACTGTTGACATCAGCGGCAACCCGAAGTACTTGAAGATGTTGCTCATATGCAGACCATCGCCAATACAAGGTAAGTGCCCTCACATCATCATCATCATCATCCTTCGCCCTTCCCTGACTTTACACCCACACCTGTCCTCTCTTGCACCCGAAGACCACCCCTGCAGCGGCAACCCGAAGTACTTGAAGATGTTGCTCATATGCAGACCATCGCCAATACAAGGTAAGTGCCCTCACATCATCATCATCATCATCATCCTTCGCCCTTCCCTGACTTTACACCCACACCTGTCCTCTCTTGCACCCGAAGACCACCCCTGCGCCTCACTGTGTATCCAAGCCCAGCCCGCTATGGAGGCTGGCTATGGAGCCGCCCTCAGCAGCACCCTGCTCCCACACACGACCGTCCAGCAGCGGTGCCGCCAGCCAGCAAGTAACCGAATGAGCCTCCAGCGGAGAGCTCTTTCCATACCTTTATGGAAAGAGCTGGCCTGCTTGCCCTGCCTGGCTGCCCTGGCCTGGGCCCAGAAGCTTCCGGAAGGCCCCAGGAGGCTGCCTGTGTACAGCAGCTAGTGGGCTGCTGGGCCTCGTTCAGTTGGGCGCCCAACTGTCTCTGTATGAGGCTGCGAATCACGCCCAGCGCCTGCATTCTTTGGGAAAGCCCGGAGGGCCATGGAAATGTCTTTGTTGCCCGGCCTGAGTTTCTCTCAACCAACTGGCGCATCGCAACTGCCTGGACCCCAAATATGAAATTGACAGTCGAGGGCCTCTTGCGATATGTCAGGCCCGCCTTCACTTAGAGCGGACACCTCCGCCTTCACTTAGGGCGGGCAATGCTGCAAACAGGCCCCTTAGGACCCTGATCCTCGCATCTGGGTCCACAGTGGCCATTTAAGTTTTAAGTTTTAACATTGCTGTTTATCCTAATAAAAAATAAAAGAACATGTGCTGTACAGGATTGCAATACGAACAACATTGGTCAAGATTCGTTTCAAAATTCCACACAGAATCAAAACAAAAACAAAAATAATTCCACAGCACCCTCTGGTCCGGATCAGATGCGAAACCGTCTGTTATCTGGGTCCACAGTAGTCATAGAATGAATGGATACTCACCAGTCTTTCACCAGTGTTCTCCACGCGCTTGTCCACCTCTTCATTCACTAATCTCAGTCTGCAAACACCATCAAGACAAGGGAATGATAATTAATGTTTGCTAAAGCAAAGATTAAAACGCACCGCAACCAGCACTACAGGGACAGCTGCCTACAAGTAGAGTGTGCATCAGACCGAGCATGGCATGCAGTCGTTGAGGCTTTACGGTCTTAGACTTCCTTCCCTGCTGATTGTCCGCACCAACGCATTCATCATTGGATACTCGTTTGGCAACACATAGATGCGAAAGCATGGATAGACCCTTCCTGCAACAAAATGAGTATGTTGTTTCGCATCCATGAACATGGTACCAAGATCTCATTTTCTGGTGGTCAACAGCCTGTGAACTGATGACAGCCTGCAGAGTCCTCAACCCACCAGTCAGTGCAAGGCTCTTTTTCTGGCCGTGGATTTTTGTCATACCTGCCTGTACACAAATTCCAGCAAAACCAGTGCGGAACATGATTTTTTTTATTTAAGTGCGGCATGTGATTCGCTGGGCACTGCCGGCCTTTTCAATCCCATGGACCTGACCGACGATTTTGCAGCCAGTTCACCGGTGCGTTGGAACAACATAGCTGGGAAATGGACAGCCGTCTTAACCATTTTCATTGACCTGCACCTGTACCTCTCCAATTCGAACAGACCCATTGGCTACCATCCCGACAAAAACCAGCACATTACCTTAGCTACGACTGAGTCTTTTGCAAATAGATCTGCTTTCACACATCTTTGCACAGCCCCTCCCCCCGCAAATAAATCAAACACAAAACATAATATAACTGCACCGACCCATGATGACAACTGAGAACAATATCGCAAACGTCATAAAACTTGTCAATCCAGCTGTAGCATCCCCTCTTGGTCCTGCCATGGTAGGGTTGCAAGCATTCAGAGGCAATTGAGCAGATGATGCATCTCTCGCCCACTGCCGCTCACCTATCAATGGAGCCCTTCTCCTCTGCAGCTTTCAAGATCGCCTTCCGTTTCTCGTCCGTGATCGTAGGATTTGCGCTCGCTGGAAATCTGTCGTACGGGAACCGACCTTGCCTACCTGGTGAACATAACAATTAGCATCCAATCAAAACGTCTGAATGCAATCTCTCCGTGGGAGACACGACTTTGCGGAAACACACACAGTTTGCAGCAGCTGTTTCTTTTTCCTCTTATGATTTTAATTGCCCTGGAGAGCTTCCTACTTTTCACTCCTTTTTAAAGGAAAAAGGAGCACCAACCATCCGTCATACACAGCTGTTTTTGAAGTCGGAGCATATATCCGTGTTATATGATGAAATCAGTCTTGCAAATTCACACTCAAACATGCATGCAACAGATGAGAATAACTTGGCGCTGTGCACCCAACTCAAACTCGGAGATATGGTAGCTT